CAGAGGCAAAAAAATCTTAATTTCAGAAACATTTACTCACCCCCACCCCACCCCCTCACCTATGGGGAGAAACTGGTCTAGACAAGATAGTTGATCTACATAATGGTCGTAGACTCAAGAGACTCCAGCTCAAGGAAAACAGGTTTCAAGAGTGAGCACCTCCTTTTCAGTTGATGGAAGAAATGACAGAGAAGGTGTCCAAATGGAAAAAATAAGATCAGATAGACAAACCAGAAGGCAATGGCAAATTCATTGAATGGCCAACATCTTGAGGACATTGATAAAGAGACCATTCCTCTGGAGACCAGTCTCCTGAAATGGAACAGGTATCCAGAATTGCACTCCACCTAAATAGACATTTTGTAGAACTGGTTTCTGTCAAGTGCAAAGCTACACAATATGTCATCTGTTCTGCACTCACCATGGATAAGGAAACCAAAATATCTAACCATACTAAGCCCTCATAGTTACCACTAGATCAATGGTGGGCTCCAAACAGTTTTAATACTGGGCAAGTTGGGAAAAGAGGGATGCCCAGGGTCTCACTGGAGCCACTAGAACAAGAGTTAAAAAGGAGGAGGGGTGTAATATAAGAGAAGGTTGTGATTATTTGTATACCTGGCAAGGATCAGCCAAAAACAGAGGGCATCAGATAGAAATAAGTGGACTAGAAACAAAAGAGGGAGTGGGCCCTGTAAGGCTGTAGAAGATGGGAAATCTGATTCCCCCCCCAGTCAATAAAGTGAGCATTGATGACTACGAACAAGCTGCATCACCTAAATATTCCAAAATATAAGAAATACCCCCCCCCCTCAAATTAAGAAAATCATTAAGAAGAAAAGGGTGCAACATAGAGGTCCCTGAGAGAAGGGTCGGGGAGGCAAATGTCAGAAAGCAAAGCATCCTGATGAAACACATTCCATTAACAAAGATATTTAAATTAATGGGGATACAATGGATGAAGAAAAATTAGGCTAACATGGAAAACAGGTAATTACAAATTTCTCCGTTAAAGCTGACAGGATCGTGATGTAAGCTTTAAAAATAATGTGAAGTGTAGACAAATAGCGAAGAAGTTGGATATATAACAGATGACAACAAATAGATGGGGAGGGAAAAAAAAGAAAGAAAGAGTAAAGTACTAACCTGAAAGAAAAAAATTCAAATGACTGAAGTGCAACAAAGTAGTCTGACATGCAACAAGAAACAACTGTAGAATGAGAAAATATAATAAACACCTTTGTAATCCAAGCAGCAAAGTACAAAGGTGGAATACTTTATCCTTGTAAGAAAGAGGGAAATAGAAGCAAAAGAAGGAATTGGTAAAGTTTGTCTAAGAATGGGGGCAGACTCAGCTGAAATAAATATGCAGGAGGTTGGGAATTCTGGATTCAAGATTATAATGGAACTAACCAGCTAGTGCACAACGACAGCAACATCACTGAAAATCAAGTACTTCCAGTCACCATCAAAATCTCAAGAGGTGTTAGAAATGTGGAAAAGTGAATCCATAGTCCACATGATCCAAAAAATGTCTGATTTTTTTTTCCTATATGTATTTATATATATATATATATATATATACACACAAAAGTTGACATTTAAGTAAATAGTACATAAGAGTTAGGTCACTGACGTAATGACAACACTGAAAAACACTTATTGAAATCCTTACTATGAGCTAAGGCAACAGTGAAATAGTACATAAGAGTTAGGTCACTGACGTAATGACAACACTGGAAAACACTTATCGAAATCCTTACTATGAGCTAAGGCAACAGTGAAATAATACTATCAAAGAAACCTTATCCCAGACAGTGGAACATGTGTCCCAAAATTACAAATTTGATTAAAAGTAAAAACCAAATTATAGGTACTTTGAATCAAAATTTTAACTAAAGTGTTGAAAATTTGGTTTATTTCGCATAATCAAGAAGATTAAAGAAAGAAAAACAACAGCATTAATGGTAATGAATGTTTAAAATAACAAGTACAAAAATTCCATTAATTCTTAAGAAAAGATGCGTCTCAACAAAGTGATGCTAAGGATAAGAATATGCCTTTTGTTCTAGTGCTGGTGTTCATGGGAATTACTGCACATGGAGGATATATTTCCTTCCTATTGATGGAAGGCTGTAATCTAAAGATTACATCCTATGCTGGCACGACACAGGAGTTAAAGTTTCGTTCAAGGCTTATGGCATACAAAAAATCTTCTTGAGTGGTGCGAGGTAATCACTATTTTTCAGAGGTTAGTAAACAATTCTAAACACTGTAATAGATACAAGCACACCATCCACTAAGATCTTACTTATCTTCTTTTGAGGAAAGGAGAGTTAAAAGTGATCTTACTGAAGTTTTGATGATTATCCAGGGTAAATCTGCAAGATTTAATTGGTTTATAAATATAACTGATTACCTACGAGCAGCAATGAGCAGTCGCATAAACTAATCGATGAATCAAAATTATGATTAAATTGAAATTCCAATTATATCAGATGTCACAAAAAGAACCAACTAGTCGAAATTAAGGTTTCCAATTTTTCAAACTAACCAAGTAACCGAAATATTGTCATCAAATTTGCTCCCCATTTTTTTCTCTTGCTTGTAGATACCAAGGTAATAATCAATCAATTAATGAGGCCTCGATTAGTAAGTGCCACTGATTACCTAATTCTAGTCCAGGAAAGCTATAGGATAAAAGCCTCCGATTTCTCTATTATACTCTGAAGATAGCAGGAAGAGAAGATACAAGTTTAACAAGTTAGACTCCAATTAAGACAGTTTAATTTTTCTAACATGATGACTAACTTATGAAATGAGTTGCCATCAGCAATAGTGAAGTCCAGCACTTTCCAGGGGTTTACAACGGGAATCAACAATTTCCTAAAAAGTAAAGGTGAGTTTAATTTTGTTTTTTTCTAAGGGTGGGTGTTCAAGGATAGCTGCATAGGACCAAATGGTCCCTTGTTGTCAGTCAGTTATGTTATTATGCATAGTTTCTTTTCACTTCACCTTTCACAAAAACAGATCTTGCTTCTACTAACAGTAAACTTGAATGAAGCACGAAAACACACATAAGCACCAAGATCTATGGTTTTAATCATGCACATGCAAGGATATCTTTTCTAAGTTACATCAACTAAAACAAGAGCCATACTTGTTTTTTGAAAGGATTATTAACATAATCTTAATACATGCAGACTGATTTAACACTTCCCTCAGGAGCCAAGGGGTGTCTTCAGACTGCAGTTTCTTGGATATTAAAAGTAAGTTCAATCCGGAAACACCCAAAGATGGTGGTTTTGGACATATCTTTTCGAGACTTGTTTTCATTTGTTAATTGATAAATTCTTAAATGAAATACAGCATCCTCAAGTCTCCATACTAGCTAGTACTAAGGCCTACACACTAGGAGGAAATCCAGTATATATCAATAAAGCTATATTCTCAGCATCATTAAATGAGCAATTGCCAACCTTTTATGCTTCTGCTAACACCTTATAAACTGAGACATGAACGATTTCACCTGCGAATCGGTAGTGAAGCTCGAAGCATCACAATAGTCAGTAAAGAGGAACACTTTGAAAGCAGCTACAGGCATATAATTGTAGTCGGCTTGCTGCACAATATCTACGAAGTTGGTTCGAAATGGTTCTTAAATATCTCTGGGTGTCATTTAGAGACTTCCATGCTTCTTGTACTTGGCTGTTAAGCTCGTGATGTGCTGATGGATTTCAGTCACTTACCACTTCAAATCACTTTTTGCAGCCCCAATGCTAAAAGTGTGTGATAAATGCCTTCTTTTTTAGCCAACAAAAATGTAAGAAAACTTTCAATTCAAATTAAGAAAAACCAAATTGGGTACTTTGTTGTTTTTTTTCAACAAAAGTGTCCCCCACTGGCTCGTGAGGGGCCTACTAAAACTTCTTGGACAACTTAAAATGTTCAATACAGAAAAACATCATTCTAATGGATACTGTTACTGTCTCTTACCAACAGGTGGCTACCATCAGGACTTTTCCCAGAGTAGAGAATGGCAGTTGGTGTCAAGCGAATTGATGGCTATAAAAAATAACAGAAAAATAAACTAAACAAAATATAGTGTGTGTGACCTTTAGCTTAAGTTTTACTGCAAAAATATGCTTTGATAAGGTGTCACATAACACATTAGCTACTCAAATCACAATGGTAAAGTTGATGAAAAACTTCATTGGACTATAGGTTGGATAGACAAGAAAAAGCAAAGTTTGTTATCAATGGAATTAATTGACCTTTAGCTTAAGTTTTACTGCAAAAATATGCTTTGATAAGGTGTCACATAACACATTAGCTACTCAAATCACAATGGTAGAGTTGATGAAAAACTTAATTGGATTATAGGTTGGATAGATAAGAAAAAGCAAAGTTTGTTATCAATGAAATCCAGTCAAACTGGAGCCTTGTTATTAGTGTAGTATTTCAGGGATTAGTGCTTGACCTTTGGCTTTCCATATTTATATTAACAATATTGATAGGGTGCATAATTAGTAAAGTAAGTTTGCTGATGACGTTAAACCCTTGGGTATTTCTTACTGTACTGAGGATTTTTTGAGACACTGGAGAATGATTTTAATTAATTGGTAAGCTGGACAAATTTTGGCAACTGACCCTTAATGTATACAAAGTAATGTAGCATAATTGTAGTAGTTGGGAAGTGATTCAACACCATTAATAAGAAAAGGATCTAGATATATTGGTAGGTCAATCACTCAAGCTAGTGTTTTGTTGCTGGTAACAAAGCTAACAAAAGTTTTCAGTGTATTTGTACATATGTTGATTATAATTCAAAGGAGGTAGTAATATATCCATCAAACTAAGCCTCACTTGTAACATTGTGCACAGTTTTGGTCTCGGATATGGTTCAGAGAATGGCTACCAAACGGATTCCAATGACTGAAGATATATCTTACTGAGACTGTCTTTTGTCAAAAGAAGAGTAAGAAATGACCTTATTGAAGGTTACTATGTTCTAAAGATAATAGGAGAGAGCATGAGTAACAGATTTAAAAAAAGATAAACCAGCTCTGGTTACAAATTGATTTTTCTAACACGGAGATCAACTTATTCAATGAATTGTCATTAGCAGTGGTGGAGGCCAGCATTTACAGGCTTTTTTTTGGGGGGTGGGGGTGATTTTCTGAAAAGTAAAGGATGTTTGTGTGTGCGTGTGTAAGGTCCCCCCACGGTAGAGCCTAAGTGGTCTCTTGTTGTCCATAGCTCATGTTATCTTACACCTGTTTTAAAGACTTGTTTAAAATATGATTTTTATATGGGTTTTAAAAGTTTACATTTGTCAGTTGATCCAGTTAACAATTAAGATTCTGAATATTGTATCCACTCCCAAGTGCATGTGACACTATGACATCAACATTAACCTTCATTAGGTCAATACAACAGACTACGTTTATACCTGGGAATGGCTGATTCAAACATTATAGATAAAACAAAACACAGCTCATGGACACTACACAAATGACGTGTAAACTCACTGGCAAAAAAAAATGTTGTATAATTGGACATTGTAAAGTAATAAAGCCAACGTTTTAATACTACTAATAATAGCCACCCGTAAAGTATACGTATAGCCTGTTCAACGTCAAGTTATAGCTGCCCTACTCCCATTACTATCTTTGTTTATATCTCCCAGATTTTAGACACTGCAGCTCAGCATATGTTGATGGCACATGGGTACATCACGTATCTCTCTGTAACGAACAAATCCTCAATAAGCACTGTACATTGTACGGTATGACACTCAACATTAGTCATCATTACTTGGCTGACCACTGAGTTAGGACATTACGGTTTGACGCGTAACACTGGTTTAATCATAACGTAAATAGTACGATAGTAATAATAAGAAATACTTGCCCTAAAAAAAACAACACAACAATGGTTACTCACAATATCAAGAGTACATACATTAAGTACAAGTTTGTTCTTAGTTATCTTACACAAATTTCTTTTTATACAGTTGCTAAGCTGCCTTATGTGTGTGTGGGGGGGGGAACAAGTTACTTTGTTAAGAGGGATATATATAAATTTAAGTAGTTTCATACAAATGTTTAATGTACGGTACCATTGTAGGAAAAACCAGTGACACGAGTGGCTTGAAAGACATGCTATAGATGAATTAATAACCTACAAGTAACTATTTCTAGAGTTACTTATTTTTATCAACAGTATTATACTTATAGACACATGCAAGTACATAAAAATATGCACAAACATAACATCGACTTACCTTGGCAGCTGCTGCATCAATAGCGGACTGATTATAGAATGAATGAGCCGTGCGTTGCCGATCCTTGTATGGATTTTCATATTCCGAACCGTTGTGCACAAAGGAAAGGCAAGCTATTCTTAAATTATCATGACATGTTTCCAGCTTGCTCATAGACTTTATTCTTTTGCCACAAATCGTGGCACTATCAATGAACCATTGAGAACAAGAATTTGATCCTCGAAGAAGTATAGTTCCCATGGCTAAAACATCAAAACAAGGTTGTTGTTTTTTCTCTTAAAAAAGCGGTGCACAATAAACAAGCCTGGTAAAGATCTAACCAGAGGTCATCATTAGCAGCCAACTGTTCCCACTGTGAAGAATAAATCCATTTAAAAATTCACCTATATTATTCATAAAGATAAAAAAAATACTGTTGTGTCACTATGAATGCATCACACTTGGAGCGTATGGGAACCATTCTATTGTCACTAATGCAACTATCATACTCAGTATCTGTTACATTCGCAGCTACAAAGAAAGTGTCAAAGTGGATATCTGATTGTCCTGGGCAGTTCACTCGTGAGGAAAAGGGGGCCACATGCATGTTCCAAATAACTTGGGAAAAGGGAGCATTTTATGAGACAAACTTAGATGTAAGACTAGTGAACTCGTATGTTTATGGTCCAATATAATACAAATTTAATGCTTCCACTAGTGTTTTACACTTTTTCAATTTACTAATTATTGACACTATAATGCAAGTTTAATTTCTTTAACCAAGTTCCAGACAGTAGTTAGTAAGTCTACTTATTTGCATACGCTAATGTAAATAAATGTCAAATTTGGGGTCCACTTAGGGAATCCCTGTAAAAGTGTTCTTGCAAAATAACCTGGTGAAAAGTTTTAGCTATGTGCAAACCTCAAGGCTGAGATGACTCATTTTGCACCATTTCAAACTTGGTGACTCCAGCAGTTTAAGAAAATGGGTTTGGAGAAATCCCCAGGTTCCCCATGGAATGTGGTGAAAATTTTCACCTATGTGCAAACCTCGGGACAAAGACGATTCAATTGGTACCACTTAGAAGTCAGCACAGCCAGAGGTTTAGGAAGAGTTAGATGACACACACACACACCGAATCTTATCATATAGATGTCGTACAAACCTGAAAAAATGGAGATGGCGAGTCGCCTTTAATCAACAAAAATTTGCCATTGCCTGACAACAGGGAGTAGCTATAGACACATCTAACAAGGTCATAATGCATACACAATATTATTTAAAGCTAAAAAGTGTCCACAGACAATTTTTCAATGTGTCCATTGCAGAGTGGATGCTGTAAAGGACAACCTTACCGAAACTACTGAAACTTCAAAATTCTTTTTTCTTCTGCGAATAGATACATCATAAAGAGTAAAAGTTATGGCATTTGTAATTTTAGGAATGTCAATAAATATGTTTAATAAAATACAATTAAACTTAAGGTAAGTGTACTGCAATCCATAAACTATAAATGTGTAACATAGTGTAAGTAAGGGGATTTAAAACTCCCTACATAAGAATACAAAAAAGTCCTTTAAGTCGTAACTAACTTTCTACATAGGTTATTCTAAAGAATGTGGAACAAGCATGTGTACACCCCAAGTATAAGCAGTGACTAGCCCGAACTGTTTTTTTTTTTAATTTCATGCAAAGCTACACGAGGGCTATCTGCGCTAGCCGTCCCTAATTTAGTAGTGTAAGACTAGAGGGAAGGCAGCTAGTCATCACCACCCACCACCACCAACTCTTGTGTTACTCTTTTACCAATGAATAGTGGGATTGACCGTCACATTATAATGCCTCCATGACTGAAAGGGCAAGCTTGTTTGGTGGGACGGGGATTCGAACCCGCGACCCTCAGATTGCGAGTCGAGCGCCCTAACCACCGGGCCGTGCCGGACAGCCCGAACTGTGACCATGACAAAGTTCAAAACGTTTTGTATGGCCACTCATCCTAAAGTGACATCTGCAAAAATTCTATTTCTCCTACAAGGTGTTTCAAACAATATTTTCCAAGGTATAATAAATGTAGTAAAACTTCAGATGCTCATCTTACTCTCTACAGCAGTTTCTAAACATTTTTGATTCATCCCCTACGCATCAATCGATGAGTATCATCACTTTGCATAATCCACATGCAAAAATAATTCACATCATGCGCAGAAACCCAATAACCACTTAAGGTTATATAAAGAATTCGTAAGAAGATGGAATAACACAGGGAAAATGTGAAAGATCATTACGTTCAAACATGTTCTGTACATGTGCCCCTGGGCGTCATACAAAGTTGGGATGTAACGTTAAGGAGAATACGTTTGTAGAGATTTTTTTTTCCTGTGAAGTAACCAGGCATTATTTTTACAGAAAGTCTGTTATTCTGTACACAAAATTGGAATTTTTCAGCGTAATTGACCTTCCTACCAAATCTTGGCCCCAATTACTGCACCATTTGTAAAAATTACATACAAAAATTTAGCTTTACTTTGATTATCATACTTAGGCAAATTTTTGTAAATCTTTTCCAAAATCTTAAAGAGATGCAATCGTTTTTGGAATGAACCAATTGAAAATCAATTTTATTTAAATAAAAAATGCAAGTTGAACATGTAAGTTAATCTAATAAAGTGCATTTAATGATTTATTTTGAGCTCTTTTCAATTTGGTTTCATTTTTAATTTAGCACAAAGCTACAAGAGGGCCTATCTGCACTAGCCATCCCTAGTTTACCAGTAATAGACTAGAGGGAAGGCAGCTAGTCAACACCACCCACCACCAACTCTTGGGCTACTCTTTTACCAATGAATAGTGGGATTATTTGATGTGATTGTGATCCGAATATTTTGAGTTCTGAAATACATTTAGAGCTTTATGATTTAGTACATGTAACCCTATGATTCTGGGTGGGTTTGGCATTTGAATTACAATTTACAGTACAAATTGCACCTAACTTTACAACAGCTTGTAAAGAATTAAATGAAAACCAATTAAATAAAAATATTTTCACTTCAACTTCAGTGCCATGATACTTACAACAGTTATATTAGATTAAAACTTTTAGACTTTATATATTAAGTTCTAATGAAAACGTTAATTTAAAAAAAAATATTAAAGGCAAAGAGCTCGCCATACGTGAATAATACTGATACACAGCAGAAAAATCTAACTTAACTCGAGCAGTCAAGGTTAGGGTTCTATAGAATCTACTAACCTTGAGCCGAGCCCTGAAATAAACTAGTTCCGCAAGACTGGAATTAGTATTACTATTAGTATTACGAATACATTTATCGGTTTAATAATGTCACGGCCTAAGTTAAAATTAACTTTTTTAGTTTTATAAATTGAACTTTAACTTTTAAGAAACAGCGGTAAGTATGTACAATTTATATGAAATGAGAATGAAGTTTAGTAATAGTAGATCCTAAATTGGAGGATGAATAAAAAACATAGACTACAATTACAAATTTACAATAAAAACGTTGGAGGTACTAAAGTCAAAGGAACAACACAGAGGATGAAACCTAAATACACAATAGAAAAAGACACTGATGCAACAAACGTGCCCTCATCCTAACTGTTATTAAATAATAAATTATAGCGTCCTCTATAAGGATATATACATTAGGTTATTTTTATATCTACGCTCCTCTGAGCTCGAAAAATGGCTTGTGCCTGTGAATAAATAATATAAGCTTAAATGTAAGCTTAGTGGCTTTTTTTTTACCGTAAAAAGGTGGCATCAGCTTTAAAAACGTACAGTTAGATTCGTGATATGAAAACGCATCTTAGCTTGAAAAAACATCTAAGACGTTTGAAGGTTATTCTTTTTAATTAGTTTTAAAATGATCGCATGAATAAATTAACAAAAAGAAAATTAGTCCTTAGTTTGAGTACACTCAACAAAACAAATCTATATAAATATAATAATACTGTATATTGTATGTACATGTAACTACTTCGTAGGGTGTGGATGGATCTTCATCAAAAATTGGTATGAAGGTTCATTAGGTCCATGTGTGGTACATACAAACTTGCAGTTTTGCGTTTTGCAGTCTTTTGGGCGTTTTTGCGTTTTCTACCACTACATCACCTCTTGTGGATGGACCTTCACCAAATTTGGTATGGAGGTTCGTTGAGTCCATGGGGAGATACACACAAATTCTCAGTTTCGTATCTTGCAGGTTTTATGGTCATTTTTTGCATTTTCGCGTTTTTTACCACTACTTCGCCCTCTGTTAATGGATCTTCACTAAATCTGGCATGAAGTTTTTTAGTACATGGGGAGATACATACAAATTTTCAGTTTTGCGTTTTGCGATTTTTACCACTACTTCGCACCCTGTTGATGAATCTTCACC